TCCACTCATAATTAAAATATTATTCTTTCATATGAAAAATGTAAACACTTATCAGAAAGAAATATTTATATTTTTATTATTGGAATATATAATATAAAAAAATACTTTATAAATAATATAATATAAGATTACATAAATATTTTTATATAAAAAAAAGGTTTTTACCATCAACCATGATAAAATAGAATAATAAGTTGAAATTTAATAACATGTAGGTATAGAGTATAGTATTTAATATTTATAGTATATTATATATTTATATCGAGTTAAAAGTCCAACAATTATAAGTTACTCGTAAGTCACAATGCCCTTGTATATATATTTTTTATCTTTCTGTTAAAATCAAATACTTACAATATTAATGAGATATGACCGGCTAGATGTTTACAAAGTATTTTGTCTTACGATTTAAAATGACTATGTCACCACTCTCGGCTACTGTAACTTGCCAAATGTTCATATTTTAACCTTAACCATCAATAATATTGAATTTTATCTCATTGAATATTATCTTGGGACATTATCTTGGACACTTTAGAGTTTCACAATTAGTTAATGATTTACAATTAAGTATATCTATTATTGTCACATTTATAAATATTTACCTTTTCATGAACACATGACCCAAATGTTGACTAAAATCATATTGATGTCATACTTTTTACGAGGCTATTTTGAAAATTTCACTCAATTATGATTTAATGTATTCAAAGTGCCTACCAATTTAAACCATAACATATCACTTGGACTAAAGTAAATTGAATATTAGAATTTTAATATGATAACCGTACTCTTCTAGTTCTATGATGGTGTCACCGTATTTTTGTGTTAATGACTTATTTAATAATATCGTTAGTACAAGTACCTAACATTTAATAAAACTAATTATTATTTTCAGATATTGTTTATAATGAATTTATACACAACCATGAAATAAAATCAGTGTGCTCATACTATTATAAATCAGAACTACATTTTTAAGAAATATGATTATACTTTAGTTTCAAAATCAAATCATTTTCGTTAAAAATGAAATAGTTGTGTTTAACTTCATTAAATTTGTTTTTGTTTCTCGGATGCTTTTTGTCGTTTCCGCCGTCTATACGCCTAAGTGCATGGTTTATTTGAATATACCTATAATGGTCGATAAATGTATTTATTATTCTTAGGCATTCCATAAGAAAATCCTCAATTCCAAAACAATTGATTTTAAGTATTTTAAGTGTATTTTAAGAGTATTATTTTATATTTTTAGATATTTGAAATCAAAAATACATTGAATATCATTTTTAACGAAAAACAATTCTAAGTGGAGACGATTTGTGGATCTAGGATATTTTTTATTATATTTGTACATATTGCTATAATTGTTTTATTTACTCCTTTTTACTGTATTTAATTTTATTCATTTTTTCAACAATTTAGTTCAACCTACTACGTATTGTTAATACAAAATACAAATAGCCTTATAAAATATTTGAGTAAAATTATCTAAATATTTTTACAGTATTTAGATGAAATATTAGAAAAATATTTTCAATACTTCCTTGGATACATTTTTATGTGAAAATCAAATACTTTTATTAATAAAAAATGTTTCATTTTTCCTTCAATAAATTATTCATATTTTTTTTTTCTAATCACAAGTCGTTGAAATGTAGTAATTTTAAAATTGATATAGGCCAATAAGATAAACGTGAAATCGAAACTCAATTGTTTCCGTAGGATCCTATATTACCTAATATTATAATAGGTATACTATGACGTGAATTGAAACTACTCGTACAAATTAACGCCAGGATAACGGGATTAGGGTTTTGTGTACATAATCCCGCGTACAGTACATTACATAATATAGCATGTGAGCATATGTTATATTTAAATTTATATACATCATTATATTATATTATATATCATTATGATAATGGAATTTAAAAATTAATTAAGGGACCCCGGCTCTTAAAACTTACAACAATTCTTTAAAATTTGAAAATTATATTTTAAATTTTAGTTGCCATCTTATAACTAGAATACTTTTTCACAGATCTACTGCCCAACAATTATTTAGAAGGGGTTGATTCTGCCGTGTATTATTTCTGAAAATTAACTGAAAATTAAATACTTAACAAGAATAGTTCCCAGACCTTCTAAAATTGTTTGTTATCAATTTTGATAACTGTGTTTTTATCTGAAAGAAGGAAACTTCCGACAGGCCTCATTGAACTCCGATTTTTTATTTTACCTTTTTCAAACAATGATATAGGTAATATCACAAGTTATAACAAGCCATTAGGTATATAAAAAAATTGTATTCATAAAATGTTAATATGGCAACAGTAATTTAGTAGGTACCCAATATTTTTTTTTTACTAAAATATATAATGTTCAATATTAACCTGAAAACAAATATTGAAATAAATTTTCAATGTTCTGTATACACCAATAATTTGTGACGACTAAAGCGTATGAAAAATTATTTAATATTATCAGGAATAAAACCATGAATTTTTATTTTATAAATCAAAAAAAAGGAAAACAATACGAAAAATTGATCTCGTTGTGACTTTTGTTTGTACCATTTTGCTTCCCAAAGTTAGTTCATAGAAGAGTTGTAGTCTTACAATATAGAATATCACGCTATAGCCTATATATAGTGCCGTGAATGTCGATAAAAATTAAAGCTCAGATTATATAATAGGTAGAGCTCATATACTATAATAATAAATGTACCTTATTTCAAGAGACAGTTTAGTTTTATTCGCCTAAAATCAACCAACATTCTAGTACCTCAGAGTTAAAAGTTGATGTTTGTGATTATGCATTTCAGGCAAATATTCATAAGCTGTTGCGTACCCAGTAATGTGCGTCCGATAAGTACATTTTCATCAATATTGTTGTCACGTTGGTCTTCCGTTATCGAGATTGATTCGCTATTGACTCAGTCGCCTAATAACCACGGAAAGCACACTACGAGTGAGCAACTCATCTTCCGCACCGTTCGTAATTGTTAATTATAATTATTATTACTAATACAGTTTAATCCTAAATATTGTATAGTCCACACAAATAAAAGGAATTCGTTATTTGAATTACTTGCCCACCACGTCGAAACACATCCAATATAGTAGATTATATTATTTAGATATTGGAATGACAATTAATTAATTAATAGTGAAATATTATTTGCTTATATAATAATATTATTAGGCTGGGAGTCAAAGAGTTAATCTTGGAAATTTGTTTAAATTGAGTTCACTTAATTATTGACAAATGTATTCGTCAACTTGTATATTTTATAAGCAATTGAAATTCAAATGGATTGTATGAATTTTAAATTTTAGTTTCGTAATATAGTCTAAAATAAGGTATAATTTATGACTTTTTTTATATTATGTCTATTTATGAACATATGTCCGATAGAGCTTATTTAAATAGGAATGTATGTAAATATAAATGGAAAGGGTGAAATAAAATCAAAATGCGACCTTACTAACAGTAGTTTTAATTGTAAACTTGGACAATTAACTGATTACAAATTTCTATTATTTGTTCTTTAACTACATTCATATTTAAATACGCTCTCTATCGGTCTATCTTCATAGCTTACATTTTGGTTATTAAGAGGTTTGCCCAATTAATTTGGCACATGCACAAAAAACGAAATAAATTAAAACCAATTAAAGACAATATTAAATAGCATATATTTTTCACCAAAGTAGAGAGTGCAAAAATTAATTTTGTAACTTAAGAGTAGTAGACTTCCAGTAAAACTCGTGCTAAGGTATTAAATATCATATTATATTTTTTATGGTAATAGAGTTCCTAATACCTATACACTGTACAATTTTGACAAGTGGTAAACAACTAAAACTAAAATATAAAATTGTCTTGTTCACCGGTGATCAGGCGCTAAGACCTAAAGGTGTTTATTTGATATCAAATTCGTTTAAATTAAAAAATAATTTATCATTGGTAAATGGTAATACTTAATGTGTAAAATTAATCTTTGACAATCTTTGGTGGGACAGCAAATACGTTATGTGGAATATATATGGGTCACCAATTAATTTTTTTTGTCGGAGCCACATGAGGAAACTGAAAATCGTTCGTGGGCCTTCAAAATTGCAAATTTCGGTAAAAACCAATGAACAAAAATGATAAATTCAAAATCGATTAATATACATTTTTTTTTTGTCTGCTGGCTTAATATAAATTTACTGGCTGAATACAATTAGTGCTTTCGAATGTAATATGTTATTGAATACAAGTTAAACATTCATCATTTATTATTATAATGTTCTTTCACAGTTTTGAAAGTGTTAATTTAAGTGTTATATTTAAAGTGATTATTATAATATTATATATTATTATATATTTTCAAATGCAAATGAATATGACGGCATGACGCCAATCCAAGTGTACTGCCGGCTGAAGCCGTCAATAGACTTAATAAAAGTACGCTAATATTATAATTGATTAATTAATTTTTTTTATAATATATTCATATTTTTTAATTTGTAGTATGAAATCATACCAACTAAAAATCAACTAATATACTTCAACAACAACAAATTGGAAAAAATCCAGTAAGTTTATATCACATATTAAGGGGCGCTCAACTCCGCCGCCAGACATATCTAAATTTGAAGGACCACGATCAAATTATTTTGAAGCATCGCATTTTTTTTTTTTTGCACATATTTGAAGATTTAATATAGGTGTTTTATTTTTATTTGAAACGTGGCCAGTGAGCTTTATTAAAAATAATATAGTTCGCGTAATTTAAGATCATAACCAGTCAAATCTAGAATCACTGTACCGTTTTAAATTTTGTTTATGGAACACCCATAGATGACCCTCTGGTACAAAGTATTAATCAGAATATATATTTATTAATTTATATTTTTAGATTTCAAAAAGTATTCGATGACAATACAACTCAGAGTTAAATTTTCAAACATGTGGCCGTTCCGATACTAGACAAGTAAAAATATTTTTTTTTAATGTAATTGGTGGGGCATAAGATATGCATCGGTTTTGAAGAACTGTAGAGTAAAAACTGTTGAACTTACAGAAATGTGGTTTATATTTTTCGATACAGCCGTGTATTTAGTTTATTTGCATTAAGTTTTAAAAATTACATCTACCTATAAGATGGCAGCCGTCATCAGCGATGCACTCCTGTTGACGATTTCGGTAGTTTTCAACCGCCTGACGGCACAATTGGACGCGATCCCTTATTCTCTCTTTAAGTTCGTCAAGAGTTTCAGGAAAGTGTTCAAACACTTTTTCCTTTAGGTATCCCCAAAGAAAAAAGTCACTAATGCTCAAATCTGGTGAGCGCGCAGGCCACTTCACGTCACAACTCAAATAAACCAGGCGCTCTGGGATCATTTATCGCAGTTTCTCTAACGTTCTAACCATGGTGGCAAGTACTGGCAACCGAAGATCGATAACCACGAGCACAATGAATCTTATTACAAATTCTTCCCACAACCACATGCCAAGCTTAGGCCATTGAGAACCAGTACATGTCTTAGGTCCTATCTTGTATATTATAAACTCTAGACAGCGCCCTATAGGAAACAAGTCTAATCTTGAGAGTGTACTAAGGAAATCCAAAATGTTCAAGTAATATCTTAGCACTCATCTAAACCTACCGATTTTTCCTAAATATCTGTACATTTTAATATCTATTAATTATCTAAAAATAACGTATTATAATACGATGATTTCTAATCAAATTTCGATTACGACAAATGTAAATAAGATAATACCTATAAATATTATAAATACTTAATTGATTATGTTATTTCAGATATTTATCTGGTACGAATGGCACTTTCTTTGCATATGGACAGGTGATGATTAATTTTTGTTTTTTTAAAATAATTTTTATCAACACATATTACTAACTGATTTTGTTTTGCAGACTGGTAGTGGTAAATCCCATACTATTTATGGATCCCAAGAAGACGAAGGTATAATTCCAAGATCTTTGAAATACTTATTTGATAATAAGTTATCCATTCAATCTACAGATGGTAATTAGTATATTATTGCATTTAAATATTATTTTTATTTTTAACCATTTTCAAAAAAAAAAAATGTAGAACGTAACACATTCTCAATGGCATACTTTGAAATTTACAACGAAACAGTATATAATTTATTGAAACCGCCAAAAAATAGACAGAAATCAAATGTTAACTTTAACAATCTGGGACCTGAGTAAGTTTTTCAATTAAGAAATAGTTTAGAAAAATACTATTAAAAATAATTAACTAAGTCGACGGGAACACATTATAATATATTTGATATAATTTAGTAATGCTGTACGTTTCACGGTCGATAAAAACGGAGACGTTACATTTAGAAACCTGAATATTATAAGGATCAAAAACGTATCTCAAGCGTTTAAGTAGTTGATATCAGGTAATACTAGACGGCAAGTTTCATCGACCTTCCTTAACCATAAATCAAGCCGATCACACTGCATATGTAGAATCGAGTACGTCAACAGGACGAAAGGAGAGAAATCGAACAAAACAGTTCTAAATTTGGTGGACTTAGCAGGGTAAGTATATTTTTAGATTCCAAGGGAAACGACAAATGTGTTGATTTCGCAATCGTGTGTTTTTTTTTAGTTCTGAATGCATTTCGAAACTAAACAACGACAAACAGACTATCGCCGAATCAAGATTTATCAATTTATCCCTGATGCATCTACATCAGGTGATAAACTGCTTGGCGAGTCCGGTCAAACGGACGCACGTGCCCTACCGAAACTCGGCAATAACACGATTGCTCAAGGGTTCGTTGGGGTATAACTGTGTGACCGTGATGATTACCACTATAGTATTGAACCAACCGAGTTTAGAAGAGGGTTTATTCACTAACGCTCACGAAATGTCTGGTAAATCGATTATAATCTTTGAGTAACTATTTCAGGAATCAACGTCTACTTGCAAATATGCAAGAGACGTTTCAGGCATAAAACCTATAGAAATCAAACCTGTGATACGGAAAAGAAGATTTGCAAAGAGAGTTGCTAAGAAAGTAAATTGTTGATACATCTAATACATATAATAAATAATAAATACATTGAAATAAGACATCAAAATATAATATAATATTAATCAATGTATTTTCTCGATGTGAATAAATACATTATAAATTTATAACTATCAAATTTGTAATAACGCAAAAATTAAAATAAACGAAAATAATAAAAAGAATAAAAAAAATTATAGAAATCACCGTAAATATTAATATGACGCCTGCCGACACTAATATTTAAGATGATCTAAATTTACGTAAATACCTTCCTCCTGATCGTCGGAGGGTTCTCGAGATCGTGTATTCGAGAATTTGATCAAATACACTTCTATGATGTAAATGTAAATGCATGCACATATAATTTAATATAAGGCAGTCAACAATACTG